CTCCTCTTTACCTACTTCTGCTAGTGCTAGTAATTTTTGTTTGTTTAATTTAAGCTCATTAATATTGTGAAATCCTATCCTAAGTAACTCAAAGCTGATATCTTCTATCTTTTCCTCACTTTGTTTTAGTTTGTTGGTTTCTTGTAAGGCAGCAGTGAGGGGTTTTGGCTTATTCCTTTTCTTTAGTTCAACTATGGCTAATTTTAGGAGCGATGTGCAAGCAGATTCTCCATTATTTTAAATCTTTCTTTTATTTCTCCTAAAATTTTCTCAATTTCTTTTTCTTCCTCTAGATCAACTTGCTTTTCTTTTCTTTTACCTAGTTCTTCTCTATTTGAACTGGAAAGAGTTGAGTTATTGATTTCTATATATAGGATTATTCCTATAAATTATTGTTGTATCACGTAGATCCTAGTGGCAATCACGATGCAACTCTACAGGGAGATCCCCAAAATTCCGTGTCGGCAGCTTCAGAACTCTGGTCAGAAGGGCCAGAGTTGATCAATTTTGCCCCAAGATCATTAAGAATTTTACTAATGAAACAATAGTCACCTAGCTAATAATTTTACTATAGTCTATAGCTCCTACTAACCCTAACCCAGCTTTAACCCAGACTCTAATCACAACACATTCTGGCTATTACAACCCAGAAATTTGGAGATCCCTCTTTAGAAAATTCGCAACTCACAATGCATGAGCTGTTTTTAGCACCAGCCGTGATGCTATAGTAGTTATTAAAACTTCTATATAATCATATTTTATTTTGCAGATAAAACCAGTTTTTCAAATGATGCAGATTGTAGCAGAAATGGCATGGCAGAAACGTTAAGAAAAAATTGAAATGGTCCGAAATATAGCCATTAGGAATCAAATTATAAGTTTAGTTAATTATGATATACAAGCAACTTCTCATGAACAATCAGAATCTGGCACAGTTAATCTTAGCGATATTGTGAATGTTTCAATGCTTGCTGATAATAAAAATGACAGTGAAAACATAACCGAAGAGAACGATAATAAGGAAAATAATAATAGCACAAATAATAGTGATAATAACACAGACGAAGACCTGACTGATAGCAAATCAATCATTAAAGAATAGACTGAAATAGATGAGGATGAAGAGCTTGAAGAAAATGAGGAACTTGATGAAAATGAAGAGCTTGAAGAAATAAGCATAGATACTTTGAATACTGCTAATAGACTTGATTGCTATCTGGCTGATTATAAAAATTTAAAAATTAAACTACAATACCTTTTTTTGCATATTTTAACCCAACCATCGTTCGTTCGAATTATTGAACAAGACATTGAAAATGTCGAAGCAATACAATAGGTGGGTTGTATTTGAATAGGTATAAATAATTGGAATTTAAATTTGTAATTCTTATTTATATTTAAATAAAAAATGTTTTATCAAACCAGAACTTATGTATGAATCTATTGTCTGCAATCGATTCAAAATAATAAAGCTTAATAGGTATATATGGTAAAATTATCTTAGATAATTAGTTTCTACTTATATGGATTGTACTGAAGAATTTGAAAAGTTTAAATATAAATGAAAAGGTTGTGATATATAGAAAAAAAAATAAAAAATAAAAAATAAAGAATAAAAAAAAACAAAAAATAAATGAAAAAAAAAAAAAAAAAAAGGAAAAAAATGAAAAACAAAAAAAAAAAGATTTATAGGGATATGTAGTATTTATTTGAATTTGTTATTGGATATTAAGGAGTTTTAAAATTAACAAATAAGTAATGCATTCAAACATAAATAAGTTTGTTTCAATAGTATTTTTACTATATTGAATTATAAATTGAAAAAATAAAATTGAAACCCTCTATTGTGAAAAGTTTTGAATAAATAAATCAATAAGTCAAAAAATATTGAGGAATAAATTTTATATAGCAGAAAATATTTAAAGTTAATTAGGCGTGTTTACCATTATGATGAATATAATTGGACCTCCAAAAATTTTAATTTTAGGCTGTTCAATTACGTATATGCTGCAGAAGCCTATTTTTAGTTAGCGACGATCATTAATTTATTTGGGTAGGATATAAGAGCGATAAGTCTTAAAAGT